CTGCTTCTATAGTTCCGAACCAGTTCTAAATTCCTCACCTTAGAAAAGTGAAATAAGATGGTTTTTTAAAAGTACCACATTTCGCTATTTTTAACTGGTAGGAATCCAGTTACTATCGGACTGGTTCGTTTTTGGCGATAAAGATCTAGTACGGAACTAGAAATTTGATTCACTAGTTCGCGGTTCTCTGCAGGGTGCATAAATATCTATGTATGTATGTATGTATACGCATAGTATGTATGTAGCAGGGTTGTTGCGAATATTCGCATTCGCATTCGCATTCGCATTCGCAACCGCGGAGCTTCTGCATTAATTTTAACATTCGCATTCGCTTTCGCATTCGCAATAATCAATGCGGAGCTTTTGCGAATGCGAAGGTTGTGCAAGTGCACCGATAAAACGTGTAAATGGCAAACAAAATGACAAATTGTGGCCAATATTTTGTCTGCGGTCGTGGGAGTATTTGTGTAACAAAACTGGTCGAATGTCATATTTATCAACTTTGATAAAACTGTCTTTAAACATATTATTTCTTAAGCTATATCACCGAGATATCAATGGGCAGTCATACAAGTTCCACCTTCTACTTGACCTTTGACGTACGTCAAAGAGAACATAGTCTTTTTGACAATATTTTTTTGTTTTCTCTTCTTTAAATGCCTCCATTGGTTTCTTTCTTTGTTATGATTTTTTTTGACGAATCTTAAAAAAACTACTTGACACAAAAGAAGAAAGTGTGTGCTGTAATTCTGAACCAAATTTTCGGGATTTGCTTTTGATGATACATATATTCGTTTCATTAATTCAAATGGGGCCCTTTGGGGGAATTTATTTTTGGCAAAAATTTAAAGAACAGTAATTTTGTTTACTTTTCAGGCAATATTTTGGTCGTTATATACATTGTATCCTTGTCTAAAAACTTCTGTGTTAAAACTGTCCCTTCTTTGCTATTTAAAGTCAAAGAGTAAGCTCCTTCAATTGAGATTTCCAGCAGAAATTATCAACATTTGGCTATAAAGAGAACCGATGCTCAAATAATTAAAAAACTATAGGGCCTTTAATAAGATAAGAATTACAAACCTATCTGAAATTCAAATGCTTATAAAAAACTAAAATCGAAATACGCTGATGAAGTTACAGATTCCCCAAATTCTGAAACAGCCAAAGGAATGAGAATGAAGAATTCTTTTTAAAAAGCTTTAGAAAACCCCGACACATCTGGTTTGGCTTGTACGCGCTGTTCAAGCAACGATCTCGTCATTATGCTAGATTCTAATTGTTTCTTAAAAATACTTGACATCCGCATTCGCATCCGCATCTGCGGATGTTAGCTGTTAGATATTCGCATCCGCGGATGTCTAAAATTCCACATTCGCAACATCCCTGGTATGTAGGTACTAATATATCTACTTCATACCTTTGAATTATGCGCTTGAAGAAGGTGGGCTTTAATACTTGAAGTGTGAGACGGCCACTCGTGAATGTCAGTGTTTTATTGTCCCAGTACTATCGGAATTTGCTACACACACACTGAAGTCTGCCATTTTTCATCTACATCCCAGTGGGTAAAGGTGATGTATGGTAATCGAAAAGGAATCAGTAAAACGGGAAGGAGGGCATTCAATTTTGCATAGCCTAGTAATCGTGGAATCTATGTGATTTAATATGACTTTTTTGGCACTTTTTGGATTAGATAGGAATGCTAATTACATATTAAGCAGTAATAGAATCTAAAACTCGTAAGAATCGAATTACGTTATTTATCGCGGATGTAATGCATTACTTCTTTTCCGCTGGGATGCGTAGCATATGCTGCAGACATACATATGTACATATGTATGTTTTTATGTACATAGGTAAATACAATAAATACGTACTTGGAATACAATATGTTTGTACGTGTGTGGTAATTATGCCCTGCAAAAAATTATGCGACTAATCTCTAAAGAGAGTATTCCGAGACTACTCTCAATCGGGTCTCATACGGGTAGTAATGGGGATCAATTAGTCCCCGGCTGATCTCCAACGGGTACTATGAACGATTTAATGATATGTGCGCACTTAGTCAATAAGATTTCATGTGCGGCATTGGCACAAAGAGAGAGTATTCGCTTAACAAACCTGAGCACCATGGTTTGAATCGCGCGGCTGGCACAAATTTTTATTTTTGTTAAAAATGAATAGTCGCTTTGTGTACCCGTTCGGGTATAAAGGGGAATAATTAGTCACTTCATAGGACATGCTCGAACAAAAGCGAACAGTTCATTCCATATAAATAAGGAGATCAAAAGTCGTATTAGTCGCATTTTCCTTCGCAATTGCTCCCGAAGTCATCCCGGATTAGTCGCATTTTTTGCAGGGTGAATATGCTATTTGTATGTGTTTGTAAGTGCATGTATAATACGTTTATATATGTAAGTGTATATCGTTGCTTTAATTCACAAAGACCCTAACCAACACTTTTTCCGAAACTCCGTTTTTCACAGATTTTTGTAGGATGTATTAAAAAACAACTTTAATAAATATTTTGAAGTGTTAGTATCAAAAACAACGGAGTTACATGCCACATTTCAAAAAGCTCTACCTGTATTTTTTTTACTCATTTTATAATGTTTTTTGCTTCTCCCGTAAAATAAAAAAATTTGTTGGTTAGGGCCTTTGTGAATTAAGGTGACGATATGTAAAAGCTTGTGTAAATGTGTTTATATGTATGCATATGTTTATGTAACCGTGTCGCAAATTTTTCTTGCCATCATGACTTACCCTTCGCGGTCGGCACTCGAACTTTTGCACATTATCCTCCTCCTCATCGTCATCGTCATCGTCATCGTCTTCTTGCTCTTCACTTACCGTTTTAGGCTCATCCAACCCGTTGACCCTTTCATCCAACACTTCTACCTTATCATCTTCGACCTCTAGCTCTTCTTCAACCACTTCCAATAACGGTTGCGGTCCCACTTCATGTTCTTCAGCCTCTTCTAAATTTGCTACCTCTTCTACCTCTACAAGCTCTACTACTGGTTCAACATCGACTTCTTCCCCCAGGTTCACTTCTTCTTCTTCATCTTGAGGTAACTCTTCTTCTTGTTCGGCCTCATCCAATACAGCATCTAAAGCGCGAACGGCTTGAATTTCTGCTTCTTCATCAAATTCTTCTTCAGGTGCTTCAACAGCACTTTCTTCTAGTTCTTCCTCAGAAGGCTCTTCGTCAGCATGACCTTCTGCTGTGTCTACTTCTTCAGTCGCCTCTTCTGCTTCTGGTTCAACCTCAGCAACTCCCTCTTCTTCTGAGGCTTCCTCGCCAGAAGCTTCTTCTATTTCTTCTTCAGGCTCTTCTTCTTCAGCAGCTTCTTCAACTTCTTCAACTTCTTCCCCAGCTTCCTCTTCTGGCGCTTCAACTTCTTCTTCCGGTTCCTCCTCATCACCATCATCTACTTCTTCTTCTGCTTCTTCTTCAGCAAGTTCATCATCATCTGCTTCTTCTTCAGCGGCTTCCGGTTCTTCTTCTTCAGATTCCTCTGGCTCTTCTGGTTCTTCTTCAACATCTTCTACAGTTTCCGCCTCTTCCTCAGCCTCTTCTACAACTGGTTCTTCAGGTTCTTCTACTTCTTCTTCCCCTTCTTCTGGTTCTTCCTCAACAGGGTCATGTGCCTCTTCCTCTGGTTCCTCAGCCTCTTCTACACTTTCTTGTTCAGGTTCTTCCACTTCGACCTCAGCTGCTTCTTCTGTCACATCCTCAGGGGGTTCTACAAACTCTTCTTCAGATTCTTCTGCTGGTGTCGCTTCATCAGCATCTTCTTCTTCTGGTTCATCATCAGCCTCTACTTCAGCTTCCTCTTCTGCATCATCTACTTCTTCTTCTGGTTCCTCTTCTGCTTCTTCCTCAGCAGGGTCTTGAACCTCTTCTTCTGCTGGCTCTTCCTCAGAAGGTTCTTCAACCTCTCCCTCAGCTTCTTCTTCTTCAGCAGGGTCTTCCACCTCTTCTTCTTCTGGCTCTTCCTCAGCAGGTTCTTCAACTTCTTCTTCGGGCTCTTCTGCCGGAATCTCTTCTTCAGTAGCTTCTTCTGGTTCTGCAACACCAGAATCAACTAACTCTTCCTCGGCAAGCTCTTCAAGTTCTTCATCAGCAGGGTCATCAACCCCTTCTTCAGCTTCTTCGTCATCGGCTTCAGGTTCTTCCTCTTCTTCAGGCTCTTCTGCTGATTCCGGTTCTTCAGGAGCTTCTTCTTCTGTTTCTTCCTCAACGGGCTCTTCTACATCTTCTTCAGATTCTTCTGCTAGGTCCGATTCTTCAGCAGTTTCTTCTTCTACGTCAGCATCCTCGGATTCTTCTTCCTCAGCAGCTTCCTCGAGCTCTTCTTCAAGTTCTTCAGTTTCTTCTTCAGGTTCTTCTTCTTCATCTTCTCCATCTCCCTCCTCCTCTTCTTCTTCTTCGTCTTCTTCCTCAGCTTCTTCCTCAGCTTCTTCCTCCACTTCTTCTGTTTCTTCTTCTACAGCTTCTTCCTCTTCTAACTCCTCTTCCCCTCCTT